GCCGTAGCCAGCTATTGGGACAGTTGGGACAGTCCCACACAATTTTTCTAATGGGTCCACAAAGAATGGGTCCACATTTTAATAAATTGGTCCAAATTATGTGTTTTTATGCATAAAAAGGGGTCCACCTTTTGAAAAATGGGTCCAGATTTCTCATATTTAGCTTAAAATGGGTACAATTTAAGAAAATGAGTCCAGATTTTTCATATTTTTGCGTAAAATGGGTCCACATTGTTTGAATTTATGCGTAAAGTTGGTCTACCCTGATATTGTCCTACACTGTTTGAAAATCCAAACTGTGGCATTGATTACCATCATTAACTCTTTCACTATATAATTTCCTATTCCATATTTCCCATATCTGGACGGAATAAAATGCAGGAAATTTGGGGAAAATAGGAGATATATAGAAAAAGCGTTATAAGTTTTTAATTGGCTTTCAAAAATATACAAAAGTATATATATTCTTTATCCTTGAGACCTTCTCTGTCTAATTATAAGAAAGTTGTCACTGTCACTGTTGTTGGTGCTAGTGTTATGCACACTTTCACTATCATCACTATCATGACTAGGCCTAGCTAGGCCTACACTATCATCATCGCTACTATCCATGTCATCTTGTGATTCAGTGGCAGTATTTGAACAATCACTATCACTCTGGGTATCATCATCATTGACATCCCACTGTGCAAGTCTGCGAAGCACTTCTTGTGCAGTTAAATTATGTCTCCCAAGCGCAGCCATTGAAATGTTACTCAAAACAACAATGCCTGCTTGAAGCCTGTTTCAGCCTTTGTTCAGACGGAGAGCCGCCCTCAACGGCTCAAAATAAGGTCAAAGGTCATGCAGATTGTTGTTCAATATAATATATGCAAACGTCATGGGGATATCCCCGGGATATCCTCATTTGTTTACAGTGACGTCAACAAGCCGCTGTCAGTGGCTTTCCGCTCAAACTGCATATTTTATCTGCGCCGCTGTCAGCGGCTCGCCGTAGCGAAAGAGTTAATATCATCATCATCATTGTCTTTATCAGTATAAAGCCCATAAGGGCCCCAATGGAAATAAGTTTTATGTATTGTAAAACTTTCTTGGGTTACCCTAGGAATTAATGTCTTATGTTTTGTTCTTAATCATTTGTCTGTTCTTTGTTTCTTTTTTGTATTCAAGTAATATGTAATTTTAATTCCTAAATAAAATGAAAATATGAAAATATCATATTCATTACACCATTATCAACATCATCATTGTCATCATTATTATCATCATTACACTATCATTATCATTATACCAACATAATCATCATTATAATCATTACTCCATCATCATCATTATCATTATCATCATAATCATTATCATCATAATCATCATCATCAAAATCATTTTCATAATCATTATCATCGGCATAATTATCTTTATCCACTACCATCATCATCATGATAATGATGATAATGATAATGATAATAATAATAATAATAATAATAATAACAATAACAATAACAATAACAAAAATAATAATAATAATAATAATAATAATAATAATAATAATAATGCACTCAAACCTCCTTATGTACCCACACACACACACACAGCGAGGGATTGAAACCCCGACCTTGAAATTGCAAAAACCAAGCCGTTCCCGCTGCACCAAACCACTTCCACATCCCATTCGTTATCTTCATCATTATTCTTCATATCATCATCATCATCATCATCATCATCATCATCATTATCATCCTGATCATCACCATCGTTTTAAATTTTGTTTATGCAACTCTTTGTATTAAGGTCTTGCATACTTTACTTTGGCCTTGCTATATCTGCCAAGCTACTGGCCCTTGGAATTGTGGTTAATTTAGCTACAAAATGCTGAACATTCCATTTACCAAATTGACTGGCATATAATTTACTGTATCTAATATTTTGTTTTTCTTCAATTGAAATTTGTATATAGCCTTGGAGCTTCGTATAAGGAGTGCGACTGATCCTGGTTCTGTTATCCTAGAAATGGAGTCGGTAAACAACTCGCCAGCAGGAACCAGGGTAAAAATAATAATTGCTTAAAATTTTTGAGATTAGCATAAGATGATGATAATCATAAAAATTATGATGTTGACGATAATACTGTATTATACATTATCTATCGAACTTGTTGACTGTATTTTATCCATGCGTATTTCTACTCAATAATTACTCAATTTTATATTTTGATTTAGTATTTTGAATTTGTATTTTATTAGAAAATCAGGTGTGAATAAATATTTTTTTTTTTAAGTTTGCATTTAAATTTAAATTTTAACTTTTCATTGTTACCATAAATCGTGGTTATGTGTTTAATTTTTTGAATTATGAAATAGTTTTATCTCCCTTTGTATTGATACATTTTATTCAGTTTATTTAGGAATGATTGATTTTGTGATATAAGGATACAAGAAGTCTTTATTCATCCCAATAGGGGGAATTTCATGGCTGAATATAAATTTAACTATCGTTTAAAAAAAAATGAGATTATTTCAATTTTTAACTCATTTTGTATTAAGATACAGTATATTCATTATTATTGATTGATTGTTTGATATAACTTTGACCATCATTTGTTTTACAATATGAATTTACGCATATTTTTTTCTTTATCAGAAACATCCAGAAGAGCAGATAACTTATGACGTTCTTAAGAAGACGCTGACGGATGTTGATAACGATGAGGGTATCGAGTCGGCAATTGAGAAGCGTCGGGATATTCTTGAGAGGTTCCAAAACAACACATTGGAGGTGCTGGCCTCATCGGCGGAACAAAGGGTGAGTACCACAGCAAGAACGTGCAAAGCATTTTGGGGTTTGAGGTGTGGATACACGCTATCAATTACTGTCACCGGTTGTATCATATAGATTTGAAGCATAGAAAATACATAAAATACAAACAAGTTACAAAACTTAACAGATAATAAACAGTGAAACATCATTTTTAAACCGGACAGTTTTGCTCAAATGTGAAACAATTCCACTCTCATGGAGAACTACAGGTTTCGAAAATGGCATAATAAAACAAACATGTATGATATAATAGTAGGATATCTAAATATAATACATACATACATTACAACATTTATATAGGGCTATTTCATGAAGATCAGATTGCTTTTTGCTATTTTTTTTTGTATTTTGTACTAATATACTGTGATGATGAAATACATCTAACAGAAGAAAACCAGAAAGTGAGAAACAAAAAATAAAACAACGCAGATAAAACTAAACACCACTGCACCGTTTCCCAGCAATTTAGGGCGCAAAGCCCGCCAGGACAACATTCTCAGGTGCTTTGTCTACAAACATTGGTAGATACACAGTCACAATGGTGCAGACACATCAAACTGATTATACAGTTTCCTCCTCAGTTTTGAGGTACAGGTCTCTCTCAAAATACAGACCACTTTTGGAACCAGATTTTTGCTGGCCTTTAGCAAGTTTGGTCTCTAATTAGAAAAAATAATTATAAAAATAAAGGATAGGTTTCATGCAGGGCCACAGACTGGTGCATTTTAAATGGACAGAAAATAATAAAATTTCTTTGCAATAAGACCATTTTCGGAACCAGAGTTTTGCGGGCCTTTAGCAGTTTGGTTTCTAATTTGTAAAATAATTATAAAAATAAAGAATAGGTTTTCATGCAGGGGTTTTCAATGCACAGACTATAGTGCATTTCAAATGGACAGAAAAAAACATTATTGCTTTTCTACATAATTATTTGCGTGCAGTTAATTATACAGTATTGCCTTTTAGCCGATTCAAACCCTGACCTCGTTGAGACAAATCCTGACATTTTAAAATTTAAAAATATAGGCACAGTTAAATTTAGTTTATAGTGAATTGAGTGGTTTAATGCAATGAAAGTAATATCATTGAAATCACTTGTGTGCTTAGATTCAAGGTATTTGGCACAGAATTTATTTTTATGTTTTAAATGTATGCATTTGTGGTAAACTCTGAAAAAATAACCTTTCAAGAATGAATTGCTCATTTGAAAATAACATAGTTATTAATATGTGGACTTGAATAGCTTGGTGGTTAAGATACTTTACCTTCCAATCCCAGAGCCCTATGTTCAATTGTTTTCACTCACAGTGACAGGATTCTTGTTCATGGCCAAAACAATTCCACACACTAAACCTCATAATAAGACTTGGGTTCTGTAGAGAATCTTGTTTTTACGGTATGTTTGTCTTGTGAAGGGATATGGCATATCCGTGGCCTTCGGCCTAAACCAAATAATGAAATAAAATACTAGCATCCAATGAAACACAAATCCAGGCCTGGAAAAAATATTTTTGTGCCTCCGACCATGAAAATTGTCTTGATCAAATACCTCCTGCATCAAATGTTATCTTTACACTATTATAACTAAACAGTAGTATATTTAGTGGTTTTGAGCAGGCATAAGTATCAAATTTAATAACCAGTATGCATCAAATAAAAAAAAAAAAAATATATATATGCTACACGATGTATTTATTAAGTCCTTTATTCGAACACTGTATTTACCTTTCTTTGATGATTCATATATGATTTAACAGTGTTAACGGCTACCTTAATTTATGTTATATGCACCTATTTGTTTCTAGCCGTACCTATTGTGTAATAGAGTGTATCTGGTGGTATTTGAATCTGTTTAACCATGAAGCCTCCGTGGTCTAGTGGTTATGACATTCAAGTTGTTTTGAATGGAGGTAGTTGATAACTGATCCTTATAAATAAGTAATTCTAATATTTTTACTTAATTTTTTTCTAAAATTTTACTACAGACCAACTTTAAAAATGAAACCTATTACATGTCAGTTACTTGTCAGATTTTATTGCTTTTATGTTATTTAATTTTTTAGATAGTATTTCAAGCACACAGAAAATATGAAAAAAACAGTTCATCATAACGTCATACATACGTAAAATAAGAATTAAATACAGTACATTTATTTGTACAAACCTAGTGGATTGGCTGCGAAGCCATAAATTATCTACAAGCTTTCAAACTATGACAGCCAATTTTAATAAATCCATTCCATAAAACAAAGCATTGCACACATAGATATTTAAAAATTTATCGGGCGAGTAACCATGATTAATATTAGCAAGATGATAACTTTGCTTTGATTTTTGGGTTAAAACTCTAAATAATTTTGCCTTGTTATTGGTATTTTTAGTAATTAATAATTTTTTTCTTGTTTTATTATTGGTTAGTTATTAATGATGTTGTTTTTTTTATTTTTTTTTAATTAAGTCCTGTCTAGACTACAACATTTTATTTGACAAAAACATGTGACAGGCCTAAATATGGTTATGATGACATCACATCATGACCATATATGGTTGCATCATGACCATATATAGAATATTTAATAGTCTGGGCAGAGCTTTGCAGTTGTATTTTATGATGTTAGTAAGTGATATGCCTGAGGGCTGAATATGTGCATTTATTAAAGGTAGATAACAAAAACACTGTTACCACAAAATAATATGAGTGATATATATATTGTGATTGGTTGAGGTAGTATAAGATATGAATACTGTTTAATTATATTCCTTAAGATTGGTCATATCTTTTTGTTAATGTTTTATATATTAAAGAAGAATTTCATGAAACGTGTAAATAACAATAAGATGGTTTTATTGCACATAATACCTGTTCTGTATACATTTCATGTTAATGCCATAGTCAAAGGATGAAACACCTTTAGAACACATACTCGGTTCCCCAGGGGCACATTTCACAAAGCGGCAGCTAGTAAACAGCGCAGAGCCATTCAAACCTAAATTAGGCTGAGATATTTAAACTGCATATTAAGCTGATGCTATGAATATTAATATTTTTTTTAATAAATCTTTTGTACTGTAGCTTCATTATTATTATCCTAGATGGCAGATACAGATAACACATATTATCTATTGAAATATTATATTATGACAGCTGTTAAGTCTATTTTATGTTGACAACTCATCATTATCACTATCTTATCATTGTTCTTATTATTCCCATTAACTTTATACTCTTTATCTTCAACAACACTTCAACTATCATCATCATTATCATCATCATCATTATCATCATCATTATTATTACTACACCATTATCCCATTATTATCATCATAATTATATCCATCATCACCCTCATCATTATCATCATCATAATCATTATCATCATCATAATCATTATCATCATCATCACCACCACCATCATCATCATTACTACTATCTTCATCATTACCACATTATCATCGTCATCATCATAATCATCACCATCATCATCAACAACCATCCAAAAGACAGTGGAAAAATATGATAAACTAGCTACGTATTGTCAGACTGTGATATGCTACATTGTGTACATAATATTTACTACCCTATAGATTATATATAATACATTGTGTGGAAGAGTGCATCAGGGCTGAAAAAAAGTGCACGGCCAGCAGTCGGAGGCACCATGAATGTCACAGAGACATTTTTGGGGGAAAAAATTTAAAAAATTAAACTGTTGGGGTATATTGTGTACTGATTAAACAATTGGTGCTGAAGGCATATTATTGAGACAATTGTCTTGGTCAGAGGCACAAACGTTGTTTTTCCAGGCCTGTGCATTATTATGGTGGACCATAGGAATGATATAACTTGCATGTTTTGTCAAAGCTGGCAAAATGGTATTTAGGGCCCAAGTCTAGCTATCACAGTAACAATGAGAGTGGTAGAAAAGAAGTACAGTAATCACAGTAGTAATACAAACATTGACAGTGTCATTTGTATTATGCAATATTAAACAATTATTTGTGTCATGGTTTTCGCATCTTTGCTTTTACCAATATGGTAATTAGACTCCTGCAAAGATTTAAGTGAGCTTGCTTGGATTGGCTTTGTTTCCTGGCGTTCCAGGTATTAAAGGGACACATCAATGTAGTTTAATATAATGCATATTATTACTGAATTTCTTCAGCATTAACAAACTTAGTAAGAAACACCAGAAACAGTGGTAGATGCGAAATAAAGGGGGCCCAGTGAGAGATTTTCACCCACCACCTCATCCCAAACATGGTTAAGAGAAATTTTGTTAAGTGCGTCATGTCAGAGTTTAATACACGGAAGAAATAATGATGGTGATGAGTTCGCTCCTGAGAAGCGTCCATGCGATTCAGTAGTTTCTATGAGCCCTATTATCATTAATAGCCATCCAGCAGTTTCCAGAAGGACGGCCAAGTGTATTGTATCCACAAGGTCGATTTTAAAAACATAATCCATCCATGGTATTCCTACAGTAGGCATCAATTCTGAATCAAAATCAACTACCTTGCTTTTTTAAGTCTGTTTTATTATGTCAGTCAATATTTCAACAAACCTCTGTAGAAATAAAATTTGATACTGTATTGATATACTGGTTAAAATTTTGCTATTCTGAAAATTTCTATGTAAATTTGCAGTGACGTTAAGGTTAAAACATTCTGGTACTATTACATATTGCTGTCATTATTATCTCTAATGACCTAATTTAATAGTTGAAGCTGTCATGTAATTTTTCTGGTAGGCCTTAACCATTTGAGGACAGTTGATGTTTGTATATTTTTATATTTAAATTGTATGTTCACAATGTTTTAGGAAAGAATTTACATTTTTTTCCAAGTATTTTGCTATTCATCATTATGGATTAAATACATCCGGCATACTACCATCATTTTTGCATCAATGATGTCAACTATATTTTGTTTTCTAATTATTTTAAAATGTATGTATGGCAAAATATTAATTTAAATTATGTGGGTAT